AATTTCCATGTCAAATTTCACTAGAGCGATGGCTTGGAGAGCCAGTGAAAGCAGCCTTTATAAGCACTAAAGTAATAGCAGACGTAGCAAGTTTTTTCTGCATCATTAGGGACTCAAGAAATCGTCCCTCAGACACATAAATATGATTCCGATTTCATTTCCAGTGTTTCGTATCAAATGCTCACGGTCAGGATTGCTTGGTGGAGAGTTATGAAGAGCTAATGACAAGACTTTTTCATCATTCTGTTCAGGTAATATTATATTTAATATTTTTTTTTCATGCTTACTTGACTCGTTCAGATTCTTTATCACTAAATTGCTCTTTTGGTTTTCCCTACAATCTGGAGATTTATCAGAAACAAGTTCTCATTTCACTTTTCCTGTAATTCATAATCATCAATCTTGCTTATGTAGGTTATAATTTCCGAAGGACCTCCTCCGGATGACCTCGGTAAGTTTTCTCTAGTCCTTGTGGGAGCTGATGGTCAGCTGTTATCCTCCGTGACTGTTTCCCGTATTGTACTTGTGAATTACTGTTATTCATTTGGGCTCTCAGGTACGCAGACGCACCCCTATAAGCCGTATTTGGACTATATTAGTAATCTGTTCAACAGTATGGAACCACTTTCTGAACAAGAACGCATGAAGTTGGGCTATAGAGATCTTATGTCAACACTATTGCAGGTTAAATGGTGTCACTTTATTTTGTATTGGTAACTAGTGTCCCCTCTGTGTTTATATATCATTTTCCGTGTGTTTTTTAAATGAGGGTTGAGACGCTTGAGAAAGACACTGATAAATATATCCAAGTATGTTGTTACGCTTTGCTAGTTTTTTTTTTTTTCTGAAGGAAATAGTTGGAGACTAATGAATGTGTAGTGTTAGTAAATGATTTCACTTGATTGTATTGGTAAGTCTCCCTCTGTTTTAATAGATCATTATCCTTGTGTTTCTTAAATGCAGCCACTGAAGGATAATCTAGATGCCGAGGCCTATGAGATGCTTGAGCAAGACTCTTATAAATACATCCAAGTATGTTGTTACCTTTTGCTAGTTTTATTCCACAACATCTTTAATATCATCATGTCTCTTTAATGAAAATTTCCTCCTTTTATATTCTGCTGTGCCGTGATCAACTGAAGGAATATAGTTGAAAGATTAATGAATGTGAACAATCTAATATCATACCATTATTAATCTTAACCTTTAGCAATCTCTGTTTTTCTAGTATAATAGGGCAATTGCTAGAGCCTTAAAGGACAGTGTCCCTAACGAGAAAGCGTCTGAGTTAACTACTGTAAGCACCTGTTACTATTTAGGTTTATCACTCGCAAAGATTGCATTGATGATCTACTCTGATAATATGACATTGTGGATTTTAGGTATTGATGGTTGTGGGAGCAGGAAGAGGACCCCTTGTCAAAGCATCATTGGAGGTGAGTTCTAATGCAATAAGGAGACCTTGAAACTCATTTATACATATTGCTTTCCTTTTCCAGGCAGCTGAAAAAACTGGTCGAAAGGTGAAAGTTTATGCCTTGGAAAAGAATCCCAATGCTGTCGTAACACTCCATGTGAGTTGTCAGAAACTGAGTCAATTTAGAGATGCTGATTCTACTGTGGTTCATTTCTGAAGCTACAACAGTTTTGAACCATTCTTATCGCGGTGCCATTCTCTCTGATAGGATTTGGTAAAAGCAAAAGGATGGGAAGGCACTGTTATCGTAATATCTTGTGACGTGCGTTACTGGACTGCTCCTGAGAGAGCTGATATATTGGTCAGTAATTTCAGGTTTTGGTCGCTAGTTTCAAGGTACACTCTACACATTCGAATCATTCTCATTTTTGACACCTCTCTCTCTCTCTCTCTCTCTCTCTCTCTCTCTCTGCAGGTTTGTGACTTGCTGGGTTTTTTTTGGCGACAATGAACTCTCTCTAGAGTGCCTTGATGGAGCCCAAAGGTTTCTGAAGCCAAACGGGATTTCGATACCATGCTCGTATGTCTTTTCTCAGTTAAATCACAATAAGAAGAATCTCTACTCCTACTGAAATATTTCAGAGATGATTACATTATATCTACTCTTTTTTTTCTTTCCAGGTATACAAGTTTCATACAGCCAATTACGACTTCAAAACTTTACTGTGAAGTGGGTTTTCTTCTGATTTTTCCTTTCAATTACGAAGCTATAAAATCTATATCAACTTACGTTTTGTTTTCTATCTGCAGGTTAAGTCTCATAACAATCATTCCCACTTCGAAACTGCTTATTCTGTTAAACTGCACAGTGTAGCTAGACTTGCTCCTTAGCAACCTGTGAGTCTCTTTTTTTCTTTTTTCCTTCCCTTCGCAAACTAATCCAAAGCATTTCGTCTATTGCTGAAATTTTGTGATTATTGTTAGCAGGTCTTCACATTTACGCATCCAGACTTCTCAGAAAAACACAACGAAGGTTACAAGAAGCTGCGTTTCGATCTACCAAGAGACATGGGTTCTGCTTTGGTTCATGGTACGATTTTTTTTTTGGTAACAACAGCATCTCTCTCTCGGTAAAACGAAACCAAAATCTGATTCGGCCAAATGACTTGTGTGACTAGGATTTGCTGGCTATTTTGAAGCTGTCCTCTATGATGATGTGCATATTAACATTGAACCTACAACAACAACACCACCAAACATGTTCTGCTGGTAAATATACTCTTTGCTCTTTGTGGCATTCGAACTTTATAAGCCACTTTTGTCTCTGATTTTCCGTGTTTTGGTTTCCTTTGCAGGTTTCCAGTCTTGAATACTTGGAAATACTATTGGTGAAGCCTGTTGTAGTTCACTCTAAGGCTCCAATAGAAGCACATTTCTGGAGATTTAACGATTCCACAAAGGTAAAGAGAGATTTTCAAAACTGAGTCAACTGAAGAACATTTTCACATAAGTATGTTGTATTGTATACAATACAACACAAGTCTGTGAAAATGTTCTAAACTGATACAATTCTAAAAAGAAAAAAAAACATAAATTTTTGATACAATTTTAAACTGATCAGCCCACAATTTTAAAAACCCACTAGTAAACTTGTTCACACGTTGCGTGGGCTGATATAATTTTTTATTTTATTGTTGAAAATTTAATAGTAGTTTGAAATCATTTGTTTTTTTTTTCTATTAGTGAGTATAATTTTTATTAGATTTCTTTACATTTTAATGTTTGAAAACATGATCGTAAAAACAGTATAGAAGAATATTGATAAAAACATATTAGTATCCAAATAATTTAATTTAAATAGTTTAAAATCTTTTGATCACTGTTTTATGTATTTAAGACGTAATATTTTGAAATACCGTACGGACTTATTTGAAGAAGAAGGAAGAGTTAAACAATTTAGGAAGGGTGTGAGAGAAATAGAGAGAAATCATATACATATTTATACTAAAACATTTGAAATCGTATACATTGATCTAGACATGACAAATACTATCATTCCATTAAATTTTTATTTATTGATTTTTTTATTTTTGTTAAATTTTTACTAAATTTCGGTTTATAAAATTTTAGAAACGGTTTTGATTTGACAGCGAAATAAAGTATTAAACCACAATAATTTAGAAAGTTTGTTTTAAGTTATTTTTAACACATCATCAGATAAAAACCAATAAAAAAATAGCACATCATCATTTCAGGTAAGTCCACCGGTTTGCACATATCACCACTTCTCTCATTCTGGTGTTAAACCATTCATGAAAATCCCTTCTTTCTGTTTGTTTGTCAAACCTGTGACCTGAGGAGATAAATCTTCAATAAGATGTATGTATTCTGCCACAGTTCCCATCTGTTTAATGTTGAAGAATGGTTGACTCGGATCTCTGAGCTTTTCCCGACTGAATCGAGCAAACAATCTTTCTTTAAAATCTCTCCAGTCTGCAAAAGCCTTTCGATGTGTTTCGCTGTTGAACCAACTCAGCACATCTCCAATCAAGCTGATTGAAACCGTATTTAGCTTTTCCTATTTAGAGTAGCCTCCGATTCGAAAGAATCTTTCAGCTAGGGTAATCCAACCGTAGGAATTTTCGCCGTCAAATATCGGGAGGTCTACACGCCTCAACATATTTCCCGACTACTAACAATTGTGTTCCTAGCCCTATTATCCTCTGATCTATTACTAAGGCCAGGTTCCATGTTAGATCGGCGTACCTGATTCACAGACGGTTTGTAATTTGGATTCGAGAACTCTATTACTTTTGGCGATGCGGGGGAATCATGCTGCATCGTCTCATAAAACTTCGAGAACTTTGAATCCATTTGATTCGTTTGTTTGGCTATCTCCGTTATCATCGCGCGAGTCAGTTCTTCACTTTTCAGCTGCTCTGTTTTGTGTTCCATCACCGTTTGAGCTAGTGATTCCAATGTTACCGGCGGAATCGTCGGAATTTTGAAAACCTGATTCGTCGCTCTCTGCTTTGGATTTGTTGTCACCATTTCTTCTTGGCTTCGCGAAGTGCACTTCGGATCACTCACGAAGCACCAATTTGTTAAGAAAAAGGATCTCTATTGAATCAGAAAGAGGAATTACAATCCCAAGCATATCGGATTGAAGGATAAATTCACTTGATCTTTAGAGCATGTGCATTAGAGGGATTGTTAGAAAGTTGCTTAGCATTAATATAATACTTTTTTTTGGTTTAAGGATAATTAAACAACTTTTATCATCAAGTGTTGCATTAGTGGTTTGGGTAAGAGTTGCTTAATATTAAAAAATTAAAATTTTTTAAAAAAAAAATTATTAACTTAATCTTTAATTTAAACATTCATTACATATTAAACAAGATTATAGAACAATACATGAAATTATTAAAATTCAAAATACAGATATTTAAATTGTAAAAGTTGTATGAGAATTGCCAAATTTGTTCCATATATTTTCAACTAGGTCTTTCTTCAAGCGTTCATGTATTTGTGGATCACGGATTTGATTTCGTATCCCGATAAGGTTTCCGATGTTTGACGATGTCTATGTAGAGTAGTCATTGTCTACTTGCGAAGTTCTGCTTGACTCCCCTGGTTGGAATTCTTCTATGTTATATTGAGTGTACCCATCTCGTTCATTTTGTACTATCATATTATGCAATATGATAGATGCACGCATAATATTGCCAATCTTTTCCTTATCCCAGAAAAGTGCTGGATTTCTTACAATTGCAAAACGAGCTTGTAGAACTCCAAAAGCACGCTCGACATCTTTTCGGGCAGATTCTTGGGTAGTGGCAAATAATGATGCTTTATCATCTTGAGGCAGTGGAATAGTTGGTATAAAAGCTGCCCATTTGGGATAAATACCGTCGGTGAGGTAGTATCCCATCTTATACTTGTGTTCGTTAACCTAGTATTGAACTTTAGGAGCTCGACCTTGTAAAATGTCATCAAATACAGGTGAACGTTCAAGTACGTTAATATCGTTTAGGGTACTTGGAGGTCCAAAAAATGCGTGCCATATCCAAAGATCTTGTGATGCTACCGCCTCTAAGACAATTGTCGGTTTTCCAGAACCACGTGTATATTGCCCTTTCCAAGCGGTAGGGCAATTTTTCAAGGGTGAACTTGAACATGTGATCATTGTAGAAGATGTGATGAGCTGCCTTCATCACATCGTTCTCATTTTGTCCACTGCTTTGCTGCTTCAAAGCCGTTTCATAACAAGCCACAAACTTACATACGTGGTCATTAATACGCTGCCACCTATGTTTGAGCTGACCAGCCTCTCTATCTTGTTCATTCTCCATCTTCTTAGAGTTGTTGAAACTTTCTGTTATTCTTTTCCAAAAAGCCCCAGCTTTTTGTTCATTGCTGATGATTGGGTCTTTGGAGGTGTTGAGCCATGCACTTATCAATACAACATCTTCTACAGGTGACCACTTCCTCCTCTCTTTTCGTTCATCAGCTGCATGACTTGGGTGAGAGAAGAGTTGGGTTGCAAAAATTGGGACTTGAGATGAACCAAGGTCTACACTCTGCGAAAAACAGAGTGTTTGTTCCTGTTGGCTTGTCAAAAGGTTCACAAACCCCTGTGAGCTACCGTTTGGGTTCATAGCATCCATGGTGATCGGTTTTAAGAAGTTTAGAAGAGAAGAGTGATTGTGAAAGATTTAGAAGAGCTCGGGTTTTGTGAGTTTAGAAGAGAAGAGTGATTGTGAAAGAGTAAGAAGAGTTCGGGTTTGTGAGTTTAGAAGAGAAGAGTGAAAGAGTTAGTGTTTTAGCGAGTTATTTATTAGAGAGAGTTGTGAAAGTTTTTTGAGAGTTTAGTAGGTTTAATAACCAGCTTTAATGTTTAGCTACTAGTTGTTATCTTAGTATTTAAGTATGTTGATGTTTGATGTGATTTTGAGACAGCTTTTAAAGCACTAAATGTTTCTTTTAAACAAGCACCATCTATTACCAAACCATAACTCTTCACCTAACAAACAACTACCACCATTTACAATCAATTCTAACTAAGCGATCATATCCAATAAAAGCAACTATCAACCCTAAACAAGATGCTAACTACAACTTTGTTGGTTTGAAGAAGACTTACTTTGGGCTGAGTTTAGAAGGAAGTTTGTTGATCATCAAGATTCCCTAGTGCTCTCTCTCTCAATTTACCCTCGCAAAAAAATTCACAACAACATTTTCATCATCAACTTTAACTTCATCATCAATATAACATGATATATATGCATACACTAAGCAAGAACTATCACATACAGCTAAACCCGATCATAAACATAACAAACAAACTAAACCCAACTCAAAATTATCTTCACCGATTACAAACAACCATTCATATACGTCAACTTCAACTTCATCATCAATATAGCATAATATATATGCATACACTAAACAAAACCTATCATATACATCACCAACCCATCATAAACATCACTAACAAAAGAATTACAACTCAAACAAACTTCACGATTACAAAGAACCGATCTAAACCTCAATACACAAAATACAGTCTATATATTCATGTAAATGCTTTCAAACTATTCTATTCACGAGTATTATTCAGATAGATTAGCCACAGTTCATTGAACACAAAAAGCCCCAAATTTTATTTATGTTCGAAACCCTAATTTCGGAAAAACACAACAACTGAAACCCTAAATACAACCAAACCCTAAAAAAAGACGTACCTTCACGATTCGATGGCCCAAGCTGCCGGAAAACCGCCGAAATCGTCTTTGATTTGCTCCGTCGGTGAAATCGCATCCGGTCGCCTCCAAAATCGCCTAGGTAGAGACCTCTCGATTTTTTTTTTCCAGAAATGAGAACTTCTGACTCAATTTTTTTACCCCCACACGTTTCTCCACAAAAAATTTCCCCCACCAATACAAAACTGCCACATCATTTAAGGCTCACCACATGAGTCGACCCATAAAAAGCTTAGAGAAGGGCCGACCCTTCTTTTTTTGGGCCTCAATTACATTATTTTATCCATCTTTATTGTTTAGCTACCCATTTTAAAATGCACATGCAACCTCAATGCACATGCTCTTACAATCCAGAGAACAAGCCTAACCACTACAATTTCTGCATAACCAAAATATCTGAGACTCTCAACCTTTTATATCTAAAGTTGTTACAAGTTTGACTCCATTGACTTACAAAAGAATTAGCCAATTAAAACTTGACAGCTCGTCGATGCTTCTTCTTCATTCTTTGATCTCTTTCCTTTGCGATAATACGTCCTCCAAGGCATATCAGTGTGTAACTTTGATCATCAATAACATGCAAAGAGTTTCTGAGACTGTTTGAGACTTATATCAAAGAGTTTCTGTAAGGCACGTATGATGCATCAAAATCACATTACATCGCGTTTTGATGTTTTAATTATGGAGATTGGACTTTATTTGGTAATCCATAATTTTCACCAATAGATCATTTTAGTAGTAGTTGTCTTATTATAAAGAGTTTAGATTTAGAAGTGGATTACACTTAAAAGAACATATTTCATGACTTGGTGGTTTTCTTTGGTTCAGATGGTGATTATGTAATCACTTTAATTGTGCTTATATTCTCATTTTGATTATTAGAATTTTTTTTTTTTTTGTCTTGTCTCTTTATAGTCTAACTCGATAATGTTTATTTCCTGTCTTATTATCTATTCAATAAGAGGGGAAACAATATCGGCTTGTATATGATTAAAGATATAATATTAATTTTATTAGAACAGAAACACAACTTGTTTATGTAAAACACTAATTGGCTAACTGAGGCTATTCTTCATATAGATTAGTATTTTGAACCGTTCTTCAAGGCTTTTCTATGTTTTGGATCATAACCGTTTTGGGACTTTCCTCTCGACTTCAATCAAAGGACGATGTTCTCGTAAAGTAGGAGGATGATGTATAGGATTTGGACCTCCCGGGACCTTTCTCTTGGACTCAATCAAATGATGATGTTCTAACACAGGAGGATGATGGATAGGATTGGGGCCTCCCGGGACATTTCTCTTGACTTCAATCAAATGATGATGTTCTAGTAAATGAGGAGGATGATGTATAGGATTGGGACCTCCTGGGACCTTCCTCTTGACTCCAATCGAAGATGGGTCTTCATGAATAGTAGCCATTGATGATGTCATTATGAACAAGCTAAGAGTTATGATAAACATCACAGTACCACCTTTCAACACTTGCATCTTTTTCTCTCTCTCTTTCTCTTTCTTCGTTTTGATTTGGTTCCTGAATTATTTTTTCTATTACTCTTTTCATATTTTATAGTGGAGTTTGCCATATGCTAGTTT